ACGATTAACTTACATATTATATTATCAAGGGATAGAAAAYAATTTTAATTTGAAATATGAATATCCGTTTACTATGTTGAGCCTTATTGAGTATCAATCATCGTTCAATTAAAAGATACCAACAATTTAAGTATAGAAACAACAAAAATTAGATAAAAAAACAAATTTTGTTATTTAAAACTTTATAATTCACTAAAATGGTTTGTAGTTCTTGCTTCCCAATACAGGATACGCAGACCTATATTTAATTTATATTTAAGGCTTTTGTTTACAATATAGACAAATGTGCCGTATGAATGAATTCCCACACAGATTTATGTAGAGATTTATCAGTACTTAAATAACTCGTAAATTCTTGACGTAAACATAAAAATAATCATCAACTTTAATCCTAGCCAAACCAGTGAATAACAGCAAAATGGTTGTAATAATCCTAAGCCCTGAAGTTCATACGAAAGTGTTAYRGTGGATCATCTCGTGTCAGATCCATTTCCATCACAGTCTAAGATCTAAGAAGACTTAAGTCCAATATAAATCTCCTGTTYGCACTTTTTAGTTGAATTTTCATATACTCAATTCTAAATTAAACCTCGATTCTTATTGAATCGTAACCATTCACATTTATTTTGATTTAATTTGTTCATAGGCTTACTCTGTCATCTTTGACATTTCTTATTTTTGATATACGCTGTAGTTTTTAAGTTATAATGCTGCACTACAATGAAACATAATAAAAATTTCTTGACCGTCCATGACTATAGAATATATTAGTTGATAATATTAGTCACTTCATGTTAAACCAATTTGGTTATCAACAACGACAATAATGTACTACTCAACTATCACAGTGTTCGATGTAAACTCGGAGGATAATGCTGTGTTATGAATTGTCTTGTTATTTATCATATAAAATAATATTGTCGAGATAAAAAAATTTCAGTTATTTCCTACCACTTTTTTAACGTTTTGAAGTAGTAGAACATTAACAACAGTTCAATATTCTAAACATAACTATAATTAATATATATATATATACATATATAATTGAATGTGTTCTAATTGACCAATTACAGTGTAAACTATGACAGCCAGATACTTGAAATATTCATTATACATTCGTATGTAAGTCATAAATGTGTACTAAGAAAGTATTTTCTGAAATTTGAATTGTAAAGAGATGTTTACATAAAGGTTTTTATATTTATGATTAAAAAAGAAAATATTTGTTATATACGAAAAGTTGCCATTTGTTAATCGGGTAAGTCAGATAAAATCATACATCAAATCGTCACGTTCATTAGGTTATTATATTTCAGAACAAATTTGATAGCATGTATTTATATAATGAATTTTTCTATGTTTGTTACGTATAGACAAAAAAGATAGCTGRCCATTTTTTATTAAAAAAATCAGAGATTATTCTTAGAGGTTTCAGAAAAGGTTAGAATCTAGTTTGTACCACAGTATATATTATGAGCTAAAATATTTGAACTGAGGTGCACTGAAATTGAGATACACCAACATCATGACACCGTAATTTATATTTAATGATTTTTATCAGGGCTTTTAGTCAAATTACACAGCTAGTATATATAGCGGCTGAATAGTATAATAATAAGATCTGAAAAAAAAATGTATAAATTATATAATTTATATGGAWAATAAATAGTAAAATTTAAAAAAATTAATTACGTTTTAATTAAATTTAGGTACTCCAAAAAACTGTTGATATTTTAAACAATACTAAAAATCAAACTAAAATATTTAGATAATTTTTTTACCATCAAAATTGTTTTTATATTAAGATTTAAAAATTAGCAATTTTTAAAATATTATAAATATAGTTTAATTAATTGTTTGGTCAATAAAATCAGTAGAATGCAAACAAACAAAAATACAATCATACCTTTGAAATTGTAAAAATAAATGTGTGTTTACAGCCGCGATGTATGCTGTAGACACATGGGTTTTCACAAATGTAATGAAATCGTTTTATCGCAGTTATACATTTAAAAAAAATTATGACGAATATTTTTTGAATATAAATTACACAAATAATTTGCAAATATTTGATCAATATCTAAAATAAATGGGATATTATGTATTAAATTTATATATTATACGTATTTGATTTAAAAGGAACATTTTAAATCACTTTGAGATTAAAATAAACAATATATATATATATATATAATATATATACATATTGAGGTCCTTTTTATGACTTTTTATTTTAACAAAATTCTATTGAGTATAATTTAGTTGAACAAAAGCAAAACAAAATTAGGTATCTAATGTTAAAATTGTGTTGTCTTTTTTATGCTAAAATACAAGAACATATTTTTTCCAAAAACTTTGTAAAAATGGATAATATTAGAACTTAAATATGTTTTATTGATACAAAAAAAATTATACCAAAAATATTCGGATATCGGATATAATATTTGTTATGAATGTTATAATTAGGTTTAGGCATTTAATATTAAATTTTTATTCATACGATAAAAAAAAAGGTCGGAATAAACTACATTCAGGGTTTATATATAGCACGAATTCTTGGACTTGATAGTTTACAAAGTATTTGATGTTTTTCAACCTGAAGGTTGATTTACAACTCCAATTCTCCATTTTGACCATCAGCTTACTTTTTCTTTAAATTCCTTAAAGGTTTTTATATTTGTATCACATTTTATTTGTCCTATATAAAGTTTCATGGAYGTCCTGCAGTTTTATTTTCTCCATCATACACTCTAATATAATATTATGCATCTCTTCCAGTTGTCTCATGGCATGTTCAACCATTTTCTAGCGCCTTTAATAAAATTTAATAAAACCTCTAATTGCAACCACGAGTGTTTTTTTCTCTTGCAGTGCTAAGTACTTCTTCTTTTGTTTTCCACTCTATCCTACTTAATACTTTCATACGTCTCCAACACCACATCTCAAACGCTTTTAGTTTTTTTTCTTTTCAGCACTATTTATTAACCATGTTTCACATTCATATGTTGCAACACGCCATCCATATGTTATAAGACATCTCACCTTGATATTGAGTGTAACTTTTTTGAAGTGAGTAATTTGTGTTTTTACTAAAAGCAGTTTTTGTCTTTTTGATGATACTATACGTTGTTTTATCACTCATACACATTTACCATAAGATGTGATTTTGCTCCTTATAGTTATACCATTTCATCTACTTCTCTAGTTTTTGACTATCTATGTATACATCGGTTTTTATTTTCAGGTAACTGACGATAGCGCAGTCTTAGACTTTTATTTTTTCACTATTTATTTTAACTTTTGATGTAGTAATTCATTGATTTCTTTAACTGCAAACTGAATGTTCCCCTTCACTCTCTGCTATTACCACAACGTCATCTGAAAATCGTATCATTAGAACAATTTCTCCACCAAATTTAAATACCAATATCTTATCTTGTTAACTTTGCKTTTACTGTGTTTATAAATGTTTTTACGTAGCAATTAAAAATTGAGGGTGATAACGTACGTCGTACACCCTTGTCGGACTCTTTTTTTTATTTGAACGCTTGCAGTGATTTCTCCTTTTTTAATGCAAGCTCATTGATTTTTTAGAGACTGTAAATAATTTATAAGTCATGTTGTTCAACGCCTATTTCTTGTAATGTGAGCAGCATTTTATTCCAATTTATTTTTTCTTTTGATCTGTTTTTCAATTAACACTTGCAGTCTTAGAACTGCTAGTTATGTACCTTTTTGTTTTCATAATCCATATTGATTATTTTTTAAGTACTTTTCAACTTTTCCTTCTATTCTTCGATTTATTATTTTTGTTAGGATTTTTGAGATATGTATCAGAAAACTCAGTGTTCTAGACTCTTCACAGAAATTTGCTYCACTTTGCTCTGATACAGTTACAATTATGCTGTTATAGTAATCATTCGACACCTCTTCTTTATCATATATATCCCGAGTTAGGTGATATAAACTCCTCTTATCTTCGTGCTAGCATACATTCTGCTGTTATATTATCGATCCCAGGTGATTTATTTTGTTTCAAGTCATGGAGCACTAGTTCAAATTTTGATATTAAAATGTGTAATTTCATTTCTTTTTAATTTGTTATTATTTCTTCTAACTGTTCATCGTTATAAAGCTCATCAATATACCTTCTCCATAGTTTTACTATGGTCGCAWCTTCAACCAATAMCTGGTTATTTTTACATGTACATATTTTACAGCTGGGGTCATTCTATAAATTCGTGTGACACCGATAACATTACCATTACATCATCGTGTTATATCTRTATCCATCAATATAATTATATTAATTAATCAATACTTCCTATGTCGAATTAAATCAAAGTCACATGACGTATAAATGTACCGATATTACATAGAGCGTGGATTTATCTCTAGTATTAGTGCAATTTCATTTTCTTTTTCCGACAAATTGTTGGATTTTGTGGTACGCATAATCTATTTTGTTAACTTTCAATAGCTTATCAATTTTACCGAACTGTTGTTCCAACCACTCGTCTTTGGCTTTTCAATTAATATTATTCCTTAGTTGGCGATACTTTCGTTGACATTCTCTTGTTTTATTGTTTTATATTTTAGTCTTTCTAATGGTCTCTACGATTAATTCATACTCTATTCTAAAAGTTTAATTTCGTTTTTCCTTATAATTTGWTATTATAATACTTTATTAATATCATTGTTAACTGTGCACTTCATAGTCCGTAAAAAATTCTACCTCTTAAATTATGCCTTCCAAAAAAAGATCGATCAGTAGCTGTACACTTCAAGCACAAAAGAAAATGGCAATACGAGCTTCAGAAGCAATTGAACAAAAAGATACAAGATCGGAAACCGACAGACTGTGGTTATATTTTACAATTTTTATAAAAAAACGTATACCATATCATTTATCATGGCATGGTGTTTCGTCGCTTACTATAGACGCGTAGGYATTGATTATATTTTAAACGCAGTCGACTGGTRCACGAAAACCGACTTACCTGTCTGATTCCGTACTTAATTTCAAAGTCCAAAAAGTTGTACTCTCTCGCATGTGCAGGCCGTGGCATGGCAGTAGTGGTGATGATAGACGCTCCAGTGGACGGTGGCCCATTGACGGCTCGACCACCAATGGACGCCTGGTACGCGAGTATGTTGGCAAGACTGGCTATCACAGGCTCGGCGGCAAATGCGAGAGTGTCGTTGCAGTCCTCCACGGAATGCACCACCTTGAGGATGAGTTTTGGCTGTCTGAGCATCTCCAAGTAGTGCACGCTCTTCTTCAATATCTCCGTCACAGTCTCCTTCCGTCTGGGTTTGTGCAGCTTATCAGCCAACTTTTTTTCGAAAACAAATATCGATACTTCCTGTAATCAAAATACCGCGATGCTTAAATTAGAATAATTTATTATACTACGTGGTCAGGTACGAGCGCACTCATTAAGTAGTCGATGGTAGTGGTTTTTGGGTGGTTTCACATGGAATAATATTTTGGTTTATACAAATCGATGGATTTTATTGGGTTATAATTATGGGGGAGGTATTATACAAAAACGATTTTACTCGGTGACTTTTACAGCTCAACAATTATGTTGATAATACACAATCATATTGATAACTATTATAGTTATGTTTATGTTTTATTTAATATGTGTATAATAATATTTATTTTTCTTATTAAACACATACAATATTATAATAACCAATAAATAAGTAAGTAATACTTTCAAATATAGTTAACTGTTTTACATTAAATTTAGATGATTTAAAAATGTATTATATATATATACATATTATGAGTAGTACCTATATCATTTGCATGTAAATTAATACAAAAAATTATCTATAACTTTTTATTTTCTGATCTTTCTGATGAAAGTACATATTTGTTTTGTTTTTGATTATCCTGTCGACATTCGATGAAATTCATCTAGAAAAATAGTGGACACAATGTTATATACAGAGTGTCCCAAAGAGATCTGACATTCTGACAAATRAAATAACTTTTGTTCTAATCAATATTTTTTAAAAATTTCTTTTAAATATAATCCATAGACACTTGCGTTACATTTTTAGAATACATTTTTTATTTTTTGTTTTTTAATACTGAAAATAAAAAACTTRAAAATTGATAAATTTTTTTTCAAAATATTCAATATAGCCAATTTGTAAATCTGATTTTTAGAAAAATGTATAAGGTAAAAACACTTATTTAAGTCAAATGGCTGATTTTTAAAATATTAATATTTTCGTTAAGTAAATTACGATCTAGTTTATGTTAGAAACCTTGTAATTTCAAATAATAATAAAGTTTTTTWWAAATATTTTATAAGAACATTTTTAAATAAGTGCATGTTAAACTCTAATTATTTTTTTATTGTATTTATTTTAATAATATGTGATGTATAAACTATAAATTACTATAATTTACCTAACAAAAATATTGATATYAAAAAAAATTGTAAAAAATCAGCTTTTTGACTTAAATAAGTGTTTTTACCATATACATTTTTCTGAAAATCAAATTTACAAATTGGCTATATTGAATATTTCAAAAAAAAATTATCAATTTTTAAGTTTTTTATTTTCAGCATTAAAAAATAAAAAATGTAGCGCAAGTTTCTATGGATTATATTTAAAAGAAATTTTTAAAAAATATTGATTAGAACAAAAGATATTTCATTTGTCAGAATGTCAGATCTCTTTGGGACACTCTGTATTATTAATTTTGATAAACTCCGCACTGTAGTGAGTACTGTATTTTCTAAATATACAGTTCAATACTTCACAATACATTATTATATTTAGCATTTTTATAGTTTTATCGTTAATACTATTTTCAGGAGCATGAAAAACACATTTTTTTATCCTGATTATGATATTGTTATTTTTTTATGTGATTTCTGGCAAAAATAATGAAGTAATTTCTCATAATGAATAATTTTTTTTGTGTGTTAAAAACTAAATTTGCTTTTCAAAGTATGATATTTTTCAATGTTAGTTTGAATTTTTCTTTGCATWAAAATTTTTAAAAACAATTAAATAACCTATACAATAATGCGATTCAAGTAGTTGATGAGAGTATCGAAAAGAAATATTTAAACGCAATTTTGTAAAATATGGAATTATCGTAAACTCTCTGGAAGTGTATTTCCGCCCACTGCTTGAGTTTAAAATTACTGGTATTGATAATTCTTCGAAAATGATAAAAATATTTGATCTAGAATCAACTATTAAAAATAAACAATAGCTATTTCCGGTAATATTAATTTAAAAAAAATATGTATCTGAATAACAACAAGCGTATTCTCAATACTTTTAAATTTAAATACAGCACAAAAAAACAGGTGCAATATAGTGTACTCGATCATATTATTTCTATAATACGTTGTTTTGATAAATATAAATAACATACAATATGTCAATAATAACAAATAAATATAAAGCGGGTGTAACTTTTAAGTACTCATCAAAAAAAATATTACAATAATTGTGAGTTGGACTGCATTGGAGTAGATTTAAGCTTTATTATTATTGTTCGAAACAATTTAATATCGATGATGAATATCAATAAATTTGAAGTACTTAACCTATAGAAATATGATTAATTTGCTATTTGTAACATAAAATATAATTATACAGTGTGTTTAATTAACTATTTTTAAGGTGAATTTAATATTATTAAATTGGTAAGTGTTTTTTTTTCCTTTAAATGTGAATATCTAGAATTGTCTTTAAATGTCACAAATTGTTTTCAATAAGTGTTTATATTTTCCCACTGAATCACAAGGTACATAAAATTAATAGGTATTCAAAAACCACGAAAAACAAGAGACAATATTTTTGACTAAGAAGAAGATTGTTTGCAAACTAACTTGTATTATTGATATTTATGAGTTTTTTAGCGCAAAGTTTTATTGTGAAACAACAAACAAACAAAAAGTCAAATTTATTTTAAACGTAAGTTTTTCACACACCCTTCATTTATATAAAATGTTTTTTATTATTCAATATTTGCATGGTCATTTGTTATATGAGGTTGTCAACTTACGCTTGAATGTATAATGTAGATTTATGTTAACTTTGAAACATAAGAGACAAATAAATGCATTRAAATGTAGTTTTAATTGTAATGGTTATCTTATGCTTATCATATTTAATAAAGAAAAACTTAAAGTATTTTAAAAATTAAAATTATTAAAATAATCTTATACCAATTATTAAATGCAACATAAAATAATATATTTGATAGTTTAATCACACGATACATATTATTGAATAAGTAAACAAAGTGAGAGGGTAAATTTTAAATTGTTACTAAATACTTTCATCCATTAAAAAGTGAATCTTTTTCGACTTGATTCTAACTCACAACAAAATATGTAAATATATAACTACTTTCATTAATAATTTAGTTTTAAGGGTTTTATTAATAAGATACTAATTAGATTTATATAATGGTAGAGCCATTAATGAGTTTATAATATTTAAAAATTAAAATACTTTAATTTATTAACATAACTTACTAGGTTAATGATTCATTAGCTTAATTTTATGTCAACTAATTTATCTCTATCTTAATTTAAAAATATCAATTCATATTATATTATATTTTTTTGTTTAAGTTTCAAATTACTTTAATTATTAATTTTTATATTACTAAAATACTTATGATTATCGCCGTATATAATTTCGAGTTCATCAAATGTAAAAAGGCTATTAGAAAAATAAATATGCTACGCATTTTTAATAATGAAGTATTTCGTGTTTTTATTTGTATTTTGAAGATAAAAACTAGYCTATCATAACTAACTAGTTAATTATTAAACATATAAATTGATATAATATATTGAAAAGTACTATAATATTATACACTTTTTTTCGTTCATTCCTCACTCATTACACTGCTGTAGTATCATTTAAGCAATAGCTACTTAGTATTTACTCTGAATGGAAAATTTAAACTAGTAAGTGATGAACAGTGTAATAGGCAAATTTACATTTGAATTTAAATTTAAATGTAATGAGAGTTTCATAAGATCTACAGTCATTAAAATAGATCCATATAATAATATGTTCATCAACATTCATAATGTTTATTAAAAAAATACTATCTTAGTGATCATCGTTTATTTTAAAAGACGCTTAATGAAATACTTATTTTAAATTAACCTTATTTATTAGCTCAATATGTTATGTTAAAGTAATCGCATTTTTTTTTAAACAAAATTGTAAACATAATTAATATACTTACTCAACAAATTTAATAACTAATTTTTTTATTTAATTGAATAAAAAATCGTGGGATTTATATGACATCAGAGGGTGATTCCCAAAATCATACAGTTTCAGACCTTCGTATTGTACTCGTATATGATTTATGCTTAAACAATATCAATTTTGGAAAATATAATAAAGAATTGTAAGTGTGACAAATAAATGGAGCTTATAATCTAAAATTATAATATTCTTACGCACGGGTCTCTGGTACTTTTAAAGAAGGGCTGTGACAATACAATACGACTGTTTTTACATTTGCTTTTACAATTGTCTTCCGTGTAGAATCTTCTCGTTATTATGATAAGTTTTCTATTAAAAATGTCATCTTAATATTGACTTTCCACGAATTGTACGTGGGTAGAACTGTTTACAACATAATATCATATTGTATAAGTAGAAATACGGAATCTGGTTCGATCGAATACGTAGTGGTGATGCACATTTGTGTCTTGTGGTTAAAAAATAATTGACATTATTATATAATAAAGTGTTATTACGTAGGTATTATGAATTGGAGCSAAATTAATGAATAATAACTATTAGATACCATACATAAGGGTCCCGCAGCTGGTTTTTAAATGTTACGCAATTTTATAAAATTTTAAAATTACATTTCTTACAGCTGAACTTGGTTAACATTTGACTTGAAGCATATTACCTACGGTTTATTAATTTAAAAAAAAATTGGTTGATTGTAAGGTACATGATCATTATTTCCGTTGGGTATAGAGTATATTTCTGTGAACAAAACGAAGATGGTACCGGGTGTGGGTGTCTTARCGGTACTCGTCCACGTAACTATAATAATGGCATTGTCCTATCACTGACGACGGTTCGTATATGCGACAGTCACATAATATAACCAGATATCGAATACTTACGGTATAGGTACGCTAATGAATCCTGAAGTGATATCATCAGTCACCGATTTATTATTGTTGTACGTGGAAAATTATTTTACCTACATTATACGGTATCTAATTGAAATAAGCAGATCAATTAATAATATCTAGTTTACTTACAATTAATGTACGAATTGGTCAATTATCATTGTTACCCTTAGATTTGATTACCTCAAATGTTCTAT